ATTTAATTATCATTATATAAAATCGCTATTTTTAAAAGTATAAAAAAAAAAAAAAAAAAAAAAAATTAGCTTTTTATTTTTTAAATTTCTTATTTCTTTATATATGTATAGTGTTATATATTATTGTCCTGTACTATTTAATTTTTTTTAACACAAATTTTATTTGAAATTTTTTTAAATTCCTAGTTATAAAAAAAACATATTTTTTTAAATAATCCCTACTTATTCCTTAATATATTTGATAATTTTGAAAACATATACTTATATTCTTCTTAATACGAACTTTTTTCCAATTATCCAAAACTCTTGAAACCCAGTTTATAATTTCAAATAATATTATCTGTCATATAGTATTTTTTTTTTTTTTTTATTAATTTTAAAGATATGATTTAATAGAAAACTTAAATATGTTAAAGGTAATAGCAAGTATATAGTTTTTTTCTAAACTCATTTTATTATTTATAAATATATATGGATTTAATTCTTGTGATAAGGCTAACAAAAATTAATATTTATGCAATATTTTAATTATTGTAAAAAAAAAAAAAAAAAAAAAAAAAATATTAATACAGAAATTAAATTTAAAATTAAAAGTTTCTATATTTTGAAACAAACATATATAAAAAGAAATAATATATTTATTATTAAATGATATATGTTCATCAATAATTTTATTTTTGAAAAATGTTTGATATATGTTATTAAAAAATAAAGATTTGATTTTTTTTTTTTTTTTTTTTTTTTTTTTTTTAATTCTATTAAAAATAAATACTAAAATATAAAAAAGTATTTCTATTTACTTCAATAAATATATATTTGCAAATAAAACTTAAGAATGTCAATTTTTATCTACATTTTTTTAACTTAATTAATTGTCTTCTTTTCCAATTTGCTCTAATAGATGGTCTGCTTTTAGCTGCTAAATGTCCTTTAACTCTTAAACCTCTATATTTTTTTCCAGCTGAAGTTAATCCTCTTAATTCTCTATGCTTGTGTACTGAATTACATATCCAGTTAACTTTTGGGTTATTACGTATAGCATTATGCATAGGATCAACTAATATAACTTCATAATATTTATAAACAGCATCTTGACCTACCCAATAACTATTTAAAACTCGTAAGTTTCCACAAATACTCTTTCCTACTTTACCTTCTGCAACACTTCTTAAATTTCTTGCTGACTTTTGTTTATGAACACCTTGATGTTTAGGTTTACCGTGTACAATACCTTTTCTAACTCTCTTTTTTCTATCTCCTCTTCTAACTCTAACTCTATAAATAACAAAACCTTGAATTGCTTTATATCCTAATCTTCTTGCTTTGTCAGGTCTGCTTGGTTTTGAAACTCTGTGAACAACTGGAAGTTGCCTATAAAAAATTAAATATTTAAAAAAAATTTTATAAACATATATACATACTTTTTAAAATATTAAAAAAAAAAAAAAAAACAACTAGTATATGCTTTTAAATTAATTTATGAGTATCTATATAACTTCAAAATAAATTAGTGAAAAATATTTATAAACTAAAAACAAAAATTCAAAATTTTCACTTTACCTATATTCCCATGTTCTTATTCTTAACAAAAAATGCATAGCATCTGACTGTTTCTTTTTCCATATTTCTTGAATATATTTATATGCTCCCATTTTTTATTTTAAATTAAAAAAAAAAAAAAAAAAAACTTTAAATATATAAATAAAATTTACTGAAAAAAAAAAAAAAAAAAAAGTTATATATACATATAAAACTTTTTTTTTATGAAAGATAAATAATTACTCTATTTTTTTTTTTTTTTTTTTTTTTTT